GTATGGATTGGGATAACAGTTGTATGAGCCCCTAATAAAATGTTAAAAAAACAAATAAATAAATAAAATGGAAAAAAAAAATGTTTCAACAAATGAAAAAAAAAAAAAAAAGATCAAGGTCTTATAATCACCGCCACCAGTTGTCATTGAGCTGATTTCCACTCACCGTGACCCAGTTCAATGACTGGTGTTTATTATGTTGTTGTTTTGTCTCCCCCTAAGCTTTCTCCTTGCCAGGAGCCTTGGTGGCATGGTGGGCTGCACCCTGGGCTGCTAGCCTGCAGGTCAGCAGTTTGAAACAGTGCCTCGGGATCAACTCCATGGCAGTGAGTTCGGTGTTTTATGGAAGTAGCTCTCCAGGCCTTTCTTCTGAAGCTCCTCCAGGTGAACTCAAACCTCCAGCCTTTTGACTCGCAGCCAAGAGCGTTAACAGTTTGCTCCAGGCAGGGATTCTGAAGGTATAATCAACCCACTGCCTCAGTCCATTCTGACGCCTAAAGCCAAAACCACACTCACTGCCAGCCAGACAAGCTGACTCAGAGCAAGCCTATAGGACAGGGTAGCACTGTCCCTGTACGTTTCCAAGACTGTAACTGTTTACGGGACTAGAAAGCTGGTCTTTCTCCTTCAGGGTGGCTGGTGGTTTGGAACAGCGGACCTTTTGGATCACAGCCCAATGCATAGCCCCTAAGCCACCGGGGCTCCAATTCTGACTCATAGAGACCCTATGTTGGGTTTCTGAAACTGTAAATCTTCAAGATAGCCTCATCTCTTCCCCATGGAGTGGCTCGGGGATTTGAACCAACAGCCTTGTGGTTAGGTCAGTCCAACACCTAACCCACAGTTGCTACCACGTTCTTTTAAGGTGTGATAACCCAAAAGGGCAAACTCAGCCACAGAAGCCTTGGGACCGCAGGCCTTAAAGGTGAGCAGTCCAGCTGGTAACTCACTGCGCCCCCAGCACCCCTAAGGTCTGATAAAGGGGCATTTTAATTCAGCACAGCTCCCTGCATCACACATTTTACAAAACAACAGCGGCTGACCCAGGAGGCCCGGTGGTGTAGTGGGTCACAAGTTGGATTGTTAACCACAAGGTCAACAGAAACACAAGGTCAGCAGTTTGAAACCACTAGCTGCTCTGTGGGAGAAAGATGAGACTTTTTACTCCTGTCAAGATTTCCCATTTCTAGATAACAGAAAAGCGGGTGAAGGGAGACATCGGACAGTGCAAGATATGACAAAATAATAATTTATAAATTATCAAGGGTACATGAGGGTGAGGGGAGTGGGGAGGGAGGGGAAAAAATGAGACGCTGATGCCAAGGGCTTAAGTGGAGAGCAAATGTTTTGAGAATGATGAGGGTAATGAGTGTACAAATGCGCTTGACATAATTGATGTATGGATGGATTGTGATAAGAGTTGTATGAACCCCTAATAAAATGATTTTTAAAAATTTTCCCGTTTCTAAAACCCACAGGGGCACTTCTACTCTGTTCCCCAGGGTCACTGGGAATTGGATAAATGGATGGCGGTGAGTTACGGCAGTGAGCCTGACCCAGAGGATGGGGCTGAGGACAGTAGAAATATGCTGCACAACAACACACAACTCACGAGGCATTTTAAAAAGCCGACCCCAATAAAATGATTTTTTTTAAAAGAATTAAAATAAGTATAAGGATCACACACACACACACACACACACACACACACACACACACACGTCGAATCCAAAACCAATGTCAATGCCATCAAGACCTGCAGAGGTGACTCAGATCCATGATACCCCAGGGCCATGCCTCAGGAGCAGCACTGAGCTCAGCAGGGGGAGCCCCAGGTTACTGGAGGGTATTTCCCGGGAGCCAGGCAGGTCCCTGGACATTGCTCCCTACGTCACCCAGCTTCACCTGTCCTGGAGCCACGCCCTGGGAAACCCCACATGCCAGGTGCAGTGCCCTCTGGAACAGGACAACTCGAGTCCTGTGACTCAGTGGCTCACTCTCTCAGGACCTGGAAGTCCTTCCTAAGGTCTGGTCTTCAGTGCTCCTGCTGCTGTTGGGTTTCTGCAGCCTCTGCCTCTGGACATTCTGACTCAGAGAGACCCTGTAGGTGGGAGTAGAATTGCCCCATTGGGTTTCTGGGGCCACAGTCTTTAGGGAAACAGACAGCTACATCTTTCTTCCAGGGAGTGGCTGCTGGGTTTGAACTCCTGACCTTCTGGTGAGCAGCAGGGGCTTCACCTCGTCACCACCAGCACTCCCCCAACTGTCTAGCAGCCACATTACAGAACAAAGGAAACTCAGGGAGAGCAGGAGAAAGCAATGATATTGCTTTATAATAATAACCCAACATGCCAAGAAC